AATTTGCATCAATAATGTCTAAAGATCCAAATCACTAAGCAAATAAGTTTCTACGTTTCTAGAAAATATATATAAGTAATACAATAATATACAATGCTATACTGAACAGCAAAAGAAACGCAAGTCTGGCTTTTTGTCAAGTTTTTGAATAGAAGACATCCAAAATTATGTCTAATCATTTATTCTATAGAAAACACTGTCAAATTAACAGCTGAAAGTTGATGTTGACACTGAATTGCAATAAGTTCAAATTGATCACAGTCCGTCAAATGGAGATACCCCTGAATGTGAAAAGTGACAGTCTCTTTAGTAGCACGTATAGCCACCTTGTTCTTGCACACAGGCCGTGCAACATCGTCTCATTGAATTCACGAGGGTCTGAAAGAATGCCCGAGGAAAGTGTTTCCACTCAAACACCAATCTCTGTTCCAACTGTGCAGAGTGAGTGGCTGTCTACCTGCAGCAATCCTCCGTCTAATTTCGTCCCAGAATTTTCAATGGGAGCCATATCCGGGGATAGAGACGGCCATGGAAGAACGTTAATGTTGTTCTGAGTCAGATAATCCATCGACACCCTTGCTGTGTGAGGGCTGTAAACGTCGCTGGCGTTGTTGACGTGTCAAAATTGGTCCCACATATGGCCGTCGGCAGTGGATTTCAGCAGCTCGAAGACGATGCTCAATCGTATCGCTGGACACTGCTCCCCTTGACCCATGAACTAAGGTTGCTGTTACTGTTGCTGCTTGAGTTCGGTTCCTGAGATGAGTGACCCGGATGAATCGATCTTGCGCAGGAGTTGTCATTCGTGACCGTCCGGTACGAGGACGATCAGCAGCAACCCAGGTTTGCTGAAGACGTTGAGCAAGCCGTGTAACGGTGGTAAAATGACAGCCCAATTGTCTAGCTACAGCGGTTGCAGAGCTACCTCCGTGCAACTTTCCAATGGCCATTCCCCTCTGCTCAGTCGTTAGTCTAGGCATCGTTTGTGTGGCGTGTACACCTCCTAGCGTCCATACCGAACTGTGTTTTGACACAAACCTTTATAAAGAATACCTCAGGGTGAAATGCATGCTTTCCATCCAGAACCGTCGATGCAGGAACTAAAATTATGGTTTTGCTGCACTGTGGGTGTGTTTGTGCGAAAGTTTCGTATGGACGTCAAATTGCATGACATCATCTCACCTGGGATCATTACGTCACTTTACCATGAACGTTTCATACACATGAACACTTACCATTATGAGATTTCATTTTTTCGAAACTTGCGTTTCTTTTGCTGTTCAGTATAGTTTCAAATGAAAGTGCCACTAAACAAATCTGTACTAGATCACCCTTCTAGCATAGATTTATAAACACTATAAAATCCATGATACACAAACAGTGTATACAACTTAAAGCTCAGTAATCATAATAATATTCAGATGTCTTAGCTTAAATTTCAGAACTCCTGCTTAAACAGTACTACAATATAAATACATGTTCCATGAAGTCATCTCCCTGGGAAAATAGAAAGATCCATATTTCAGCTACAAATTATTGATTTCATAACATACAGTACAACCAGAAATTATTGAGAATTTAAAGATTGTAATTTTAATATTTTTTTCACTCATTACTCGCGTATTTAATGTGAATATTAGCAGAACATAACTCCAGATTCAAAGACAGGTGAACAGTTAGTATTTTGTCAAGTCACCATGGGCAGCAATGCAGGCTTAAATGCGGCGGGGCATACTACTGATCAAAGAAGTTAGAAAGTCGTGGTCCATGCTGCCCCAATATCGGACCACCTCTTCTTTCATTTCAGCAATATTTGTCAGATTTTTCTTCTTGACGCTTTCCTTCATAAGTCCCCAAACATTTTCTGTTGGATTTAGGTCAGGGCTATAGCTTGGCCAATCTAATAATGTCATATTTTGGGTCCGAAACCAGGCCTGTGAATGCTTTGAACGATGTTTTGTGTCGTCGCCCTGCTGGAAAATCCAAACATTTCCATAGAACACGTGAGCAGATGGAAGTAAATGTCCCTCGAGAATATCTGTGTACCGCTCACTGTTCATATTCCCTTCAAATACGCAGAGGGGCGTGGCTCCTAACACAGATATGCCACCCCACACGTTAAATTTCGGACTGTTCAATGATTTTTCAGTTTGTTTGGTCCAGAATTTCAGTGTATTAGGAAACAGCCACACAGAACTTTCATCTGAGAAAATCACATTGTCCCAGTTAAAATTTCTATGCTGTAAGCACCAGTTCAACCTTCGCTCCTTTTGTTCAGGTTTCATGATCGGTGATGGAATTCCTCGACTTTTCTGCCAACCCATTAATAATAATAATAATAATTGCTTTGTATAGCCCCTATTTCCAGCTATATGCAGCTGCTCAATGGTGCTTTACACGTTACAGTTCAATCACTAGATGAAAAAAGAAATGTTTTGAGTTTTCTCTTAAAAGTTGGGAGAGAGTCACTGTTCCTGATGTCAAGGGGGACCGCGTTCCACAGCGGGAGCTGCAACTGAGAAGGCACGATCTCCAGCCTTTGTTGATGTTGATGGACAGAACGTAAGGTTCTAGACGTGTGGTAGACCGATAGCAGGTCCTTTAAATAAGTAGGCGATGATTCAACATAGAGAGCTCAGTTCTAATTGTCTCCTTACAGACAGCCACAGTTCCTCTATCAATCATATTATGTTTTCTAAACTCCTTCGTTTGTTTTTAGAAACAAGAATACCAAGCCGCCTCCTGTCACCGACAGTCAATTTCCTGGGCCTCCCTGGTGCTCAATGCCATATCCATTTGCAATATTTTTCAAAACACGATAAACAGTGGACAAAGGGATGTCTGTTTTACTTGAAATCACTTTAGCTGATCTGATGTCCTTGTTATAATACTCTAAAATCAACTTCCTCTTCTCTAAAACATCCATACTGAGGATCACTGAAAATGTCGTCTGCTAGCAAGTAAACAAAGGGGGATAACTCTTCACAAACTAATGAAAAAGGATTAACTGAGCTGTCTCTCTTGAATGAAACCAAGCACTTGATAGCTGGTCAAGGTTGTTTATGCTAGAAATCCAATTAAACATATTCCTAAAATTCTCAATAATTTCTGGTCATACTATATCACCATACTTACTCACAGTGATTTTCCTAATAATAACAAACGTAAATTATGGATGAATGTATTTCTAACATACAGGTAAATATGATTGTCAACCATCCTCTGGTACACAGATTCCATAATGTTTCAGAACAGACTTTTACGTGATACTTTATGATATTTGTCACGGAACTGTGCTTCTGAGACCAGGGTGTCAGTAAATGAGAATACAATAATGCTAGAGAACATGGCAAATGTTCAGTTAAAATAGTAGCAGTCAAAATCCAACTAGTCCTTATTACCAAAAGTTGCTAAAACCACTCCCTGGCGAGACAATCGACGCAATGCAATGACAGCCAGTTAAGTCGGCTGTGACCAATTATAACAACGGAGTAACTGTATAACAGTTTATAGAGCGAGTAAAACAAGGGAAAAACGAGTAGCAATTAACTACCTAACCACTAGGAGAGATGTAGGTACCAATATAAAGGATTGAATACCAGCTGCCTGAAGGTAACAATAACACTTTACAATAAAATATATACCAGCAAGAACGATTTAATGGATTGACAACGTCATTCTTGCAATAGTTAAGATATTCGTAATACAGATACATGTTAAGGATATGTCATTAATAAAACCCAAACCCAAATCTAGTCTAATCATGTGTATCCAACCAAAATATAATATAATTCTAGGAGAGAAATGTGTTATGTATTAATAGATGCCTTGGTGTAAACAAAAAAACAAACATTCAGTTTTGGATATTTTACAGGGTTCTTATATGCCGTGCAGTTTAATGCAATATTTGTTCGTCAGTTTAGTTGGAGAATTGCTGATTAAACATAAATAATGTATACGAAACATCAAAGATGGGGTATTCTAGCTTTGTGGAAGATTTGACATAAGACGTATATTTCCACTTTTCAGGACAACTAACTGTTCCACAATCCTGCTCTGACGTAAAGGATATTAACCCAACGGCAGCTGACGGCGAGTACTGGATCTACCCTAGTGCCCCAACCTTTCTGGGCTGCCCAACCAAGATTTACTGTCATGACATGGCGTCAGAGTCTCCCAGGGAATACGTTAGTCTGACTGTCACCAACTCTGGGGAATACCCAAGTGTACAAGATCTGTTTTGTCATGGTGTCGAGAAGAATATTACTGGTCACGTTACAAACTTCAGCAAAATCAGAGTTGATGTAAAGGTATTCTTACAGACACGCTCCACCCAGATATTTCCGCAACCAGGCCAGCGACATGTGACGATTCGTCACATCCTACTGAGTCCATTGAATATTTCTAAAAATTTATGATAAATATATGTTATAGAATGGTTAACTGTCATTGAGACAATAGCTTAAAACGTGAAATGGTCTTCCCCTTTTAGCATTCATCACTTGTTTCTACTGGATGATTAGTTGCGTTGTCACCCAGGCTTCGGATACGGTCACTTCGGTGTATAAAGATAAGTTCTTATCCACATCATTTCCGCAGTTGTAGCAGAATATCCAGACACTTAGTTGTAATAATACAACTATACAATTAGGTGTAGTAGAATATCCATACATTTATGCAAAAAAATGGAAACCGATGGATATGCTACTACAACTAATTGTATGGATATGCTGCTAACTGTATAGATTTGCAACTTTGTTGAATGTCCTAACGGAAATAATGCTCCTTTCATCTGTTGTTTTGCTACAGGTATCAGGGGATTAAAAACAATAAATAGAAATATAACACGCTTGAAAATTGATGATGTCGAATACCTACCAAATCAATTTGTGCAGGTTTACTATTGCAAGTTTGGCTTCATATTTCAATTTTAATTTCCTGCAGCTTTGTAGACGCAACACTCTTTCATCTGTGGATATGTTGTTTTCTTACAAGGTAATGGAGGTGAACATATCAGACCACACCTTTGCCACTGGAACAGGATCGTTTGGAGAAGCAAGTGATTGTTACTCAGTGGCAAACCGTGGCTGCGGCCCAAAGGGAACTTTTCATGTAAACACCAATGGAACAGGCATGCTTGTTGATTCACAGGTAATTTTGTACCAAACCCATCACACAGGACTTTCTAATACAATTGTATTTACAAAGGTAAAGTGTTTGCTTTACATAAATAACAATATCCCCTTCACTGATAGTTCCCAAAAGCTCACTATGAGTAACCAAACAGTTACTGCCAATGGATTATGCAGCCATGTTAATAATACCCTCAATGAAGTCACTCTCCTTTGATTAACATTTCAAGGGGCAGGATTTGTAAAAATACTTGAGTGAGTGAGTTAAACTTTAAAGTCACTTTGGAAATGTTTCAGGCATATCGAGACATCATCAAGTTATAGATTACTAAATATTAAAGGAAAATTGTAGAAACCAGTCAACGAAGGACAGTAAAACAACTAGATTATCACAGATAAATATTTCAAAAAGTAATTAAATCTTAAACATTTCATGTATGCATGATAATACAATATAAAAACAGGGTATAGATTGCCAACAAGTGAAGATAGATCACCATACTAGGGACCATGGGGACTTACGGTACATTTGCTTCCTGCATGGGCCCTAGCTGGATTTACATAATCCCTTCAGCTGTTAGCAGTTTAGACAAATCTAGCTATACGTTAAAAAAACACATATTATACGATTAAAAATGTGGAGAGTTTAAATTTACTTTGAATGTTTTGGGACTTACGTACCCTATCAGGACAATAATTTTACAGTACGTTAACCCCCCTTGAGGATACAGCCACTAACAACCTGAGTTACTAATTTAAACTTCCAAACATAAAATATTTATCTATTTACACATCAGTTAACAAATCTATTTCTTTTAAATGCACTAACTAAATGAGATCTTATATCATTAAAAAGATCTTTCATAGTTCGTGATTTGAAATAATTATCCCTTGTGATGGAATATTCAACACAATCAAGCAAGACATGTCTGACCGTGATTCTTTCACAAGGGATGCAAAACGGAGGATCCCCAACTTTCAATAGGTACTCATGAATATATCTTCTGTGGCCAATACATAGTCGCATGATGACCTCTTCTAATCTGGACTGACAACCCAAGTAGGTAAAACCAATATAAGGTTTTATTGCATGTAAATTATTAATACCTACTTGGGTGTCCCACTTCTTCTGCATCAAATCACGAATATAAGAGCTAATGGTAGCTGTATAATCAGTGTATGGAATAAGAAGTGGCGTCACAGATTTGTTGAGTGCTGCCTTGTGTTACCAGAAATGCCAGCGTGGCTGGGTAACCAACAAATGACGTATTGGCCAGTAGCAAGATTATTATATAATTCAGTAATTTCAATTAAAAGTGGATGTCTGCACGAAAGATTTTTAATAGCCTGAAGGGACGAAAGAGAGTCTGAAAAGATTACATATTGTTTACATTTAGGGTGTTTATTAACATAGTTTCAGGCTGCTAATATGGCGTTAGCTTCTGCTGTTATCAGGCAATCGAGAAGATATTGTTCTGGATCCAATGACAGTGGCACAAGCTACTGCGCCACCATCCTTGGATCCATCTGTAAATAGGTATTTATATGTATTATATGTATTTCTTATTGACTAAATTCTTGATTATACTGCAATTCATTAGGGTCTGATTTCTTAAATGTGGTTAATGTTAGATCAACGTGATGCCTAACCAATTGCCAAGGAGGAGAAGAAAGAAGACGGGAAGGAGATATATTCTCCAGCTCAATGCCGGCAGCAGAAATAAATGGTTTAATTCTTAGCCCAAAGAGGCGGAACAAGAGAATTGGAGGGGATTGAAGACACAGTTAAATGCAGGGTTAGATTCGTTAGAATATAGTTTTGTAATATATTGTAAAAATAATTGTATACGTCGTTGTGTAAGAGATGTCTCGACGTAGAGACTGTTAACAGGAGAAGTTCTGAAGGACCCAAGACAAAGTCTCAGACCTTGGTGGTGGACAGAACTCTAATAGTTTTAGATTGCTTTTGCAGGCTCCACCATTTAGGATGGAGCCATAAGCAAGCTTCGAGTCTACCAGTGATCTACATAAGTGTAGGAGAGACGACTTTTAATAAATCGAGTGCCTGCAGGCATTTGGTTTCTTTGGATTTGATATGCGGAAGAGAAGTTAAATGGGAGTCGAAAATTAGACCCAAGAACTTGGCCTCCTTGGCAACTTTGATGGGAGTGCTATTTAAAGATAGTTCTGGGTCCTTATGAGGCTTATATTTTCTACAGAAGTGTAGACAATGAGTTTTTGACTTAGAAATTTAAAGTCGTTTTCAAGACACCATATATTTATCTTATTTAAACACAACTGCAGTTGCCGTTCAATAGTATGCATATCTTTACCGCGACAAGAAATATTAAAATCATCCACAAAAAGTGATCCATCGATTGAATCATTTAACACCTTGGATAAACTATTGATCTTAATCCTAAATAAAGTGACAGACAAAATTGCCTTGTGGGACACCCTGATCCCGATTAAGGTCAGCCATGGTTGTACCCACTCGGACTTGAAATTGCCTGTCTGTTACAACAGTGACATAAAAAGAGGTAAAAGACCCCTTAAACCAAAATCATGTAAATCCTATAAAATGCCATGCTTCCAGGTGCTATCGTATGCTTTCTCAAGATCAAAGAATATCGGTACTGCATGTTGTTTATTTACTATAGTTTTTTAATCAAAGGATTCTAAACGTAGCAAACAATCAATGGTACAACGATTTTTCCTGAAACCACATTGAATATTTGTTATAGGGTTATTGGTTTCAAGATACTAAGCTAATCTATTATTTACCATTCGTGAGTGAGTGAGTGAGTGAGTGAGTGAGTGAGTGAGTTATTATTTAACGTCACATCGGCAATATTTCAACCATATCGTGCTGTTAGCAATTGAGATATATCTAGCCATACATTTACCATTCGTTCCATGGTTTTACAGTCACAACTCGTTAAAGAGATTGGTCTGTAATTAGACTGATCAGTATGATCCCAGCCAAGCTTTGGTTTGGGACTACAATGGCATTATGGCACGAAGTTGGGAAATTCCCTGAAGTCCATATTATATCAAAAATATTTAGAAGAGTGAATATTAAGTGCGACTATTAGATGCAATTTGTGAACTTTGAATCATAGGAACACACTTTCTATCACTCATAGAATGGTTTGGTTCCAAATTCCTATTTCATTTCCCGGAAGCAAATCATTCCCATGTTTTTCTAAAATATACTACCCATCAAAAGTGAGTCTAAACTAGTGAGTTTGATGGGTAGTATACTTGTTGGAAGGAAGATATAACCAATTTCGCTCTGTTTCAGCAAATGTGGAACCAAGCTGGATACAGACCCCATGTGCCATTAGTGACAAGATCTGAAGGTGGCGTCAAGATTGACCTTCTCTGTGGTGGAGCGTGCGGCGGATGTAGACCAGATGGACCATTAAAGCTTTTTAAAAACTTTCAGGAAGGTCAGTTCCTCGTGAGCAGGCTCTGTTTTTATACCCCGCAACGCGGGATTATTTTGGACTCCGCACGTCTGTGCGTCTGTCCGTGCACACTAGTCTTTTCCGGAGCAGAACGTAAAAACCGTTCAATATTACGTCACCAAACTTGGCACACAGATAGGTCTTGTGGTGAACTGGTTCCTTTTGGATTTCTGATTAAAATATTTGTTGCGTTTCCATGGCAACAAGTTTGACTTCGACTGAAATTGGTGGTAAAGAAAGATACATAGTTTGAAATCCTTTCAATACTGTCCTCAACTTCACTATATACACGCCAAAACATTTGACATAGTCATAACGAGCTGACATATTCACGAAAAGAATTTTGCCGTTGCTGGGGATATTGATGACTTTGTCTTCTTGTTTAAATTCATCCTGTTATTGCTTGTACATTCCTGGAACTACAAGTTTCAGTGACCAGCTTTCTTTCTTGATCATTTCAGTTGTTCCTCAAGAAAGTGCAGTTTCCGTAACCAAGAGCAGCTACTATGCACATTAAACAACCAATCTCAATAAATGAACCTCGTTGTCAAGTACTTCATCAGAATGGAAAGTGCCCATCGGACATTGGCGCAGATTACATTGTTGATGTAAGCCGTTAGAGGCAACTGTAAATATGAAGTGGCTCGGTCTGGTGACTTGGATGATTGTGTTTCGAGCACAAGTTCTGTGCGCCATTAAATAACAAATACCCACAAGGTTAACACACAACATTATTTATACAGATAACCGTGGTGTGTAACGCTCCACTAAGCTATATTCATGTTATATCAAGGAGTCTTCGAAGTAATCGAATCAGGGCCAGACAGATCAGTTATGATCTCACAGCCCTGACTTCATAGTTCAAATTTCAAGCGGGCACTTTCTTTGCCCTACAGATATATGTTTTTCAATACTTCTCAACTTTTCCAGTCTAGAATGATATGGAAAGTTCAGTTGGTCTCAGTTCTTAGTTTCAAGGATTGTTCTTGGCTCCATTTGTTCCGATTTTGTCACTCATGCTGTTGATCAATTGATTGTCTGGTCTAGAAAGATATATGTTAGCTAGTTTTAACTCAATCTGTGATAATCTAGTGGTTTTACTGTCCTTCATTGACAGGGTTTTATATATTATATTTGTATGTATAACAAATTTAGAACTAGTTTTAGTCACGATATGGCTGAAATATTGCCGATGTGACTTTAAATCTTAACTCACTCACTCACTCACTCACTCTGGTCTAGACTCGATTATTTACAGACCGCCGCCATATAGCTGCAATATTGGTGAGTGCGGCGTAAAACTGAACTCACTCCGATTGTATCATATAATAGTTTGTGATCATATAATTATAAATAAAACAACTATTTTCTGGGACTAAATGTAAACTTTGGGTCGTTACAAAGAACAACACACTCCGATTGTGTCAGTTTGTAATCATATAATTATAAATAAAACAACTATCTTTTGGGACTAAATGTTAGTCTTGGGTCGTTACAAGGTGAGGTGAGGTGAAATTGGGTTTAACGTCGTGCTTGAGAATATTTCGCTCATATGACGACGTGCATGTTTGTGTATGTGTATGTGCGGCTGCTTGTACTAGCCCAGACTGAAGCTGGTTTTGTAGTGCTAGCCCACTGAGATACCATGCCGCAGTGAAGCATGAATACCCCACCCAGAAACATTATACTGACTCCGAGCCGACCAGTCCTTTCTGTACCCATTAATGCCGAGCGCCAGGCAGGGATCAACAAGTACCATATTTTCACGTCTTTTGGTATGACGCGGTCGGGGATCGAACCCGCTACCTTCCGCTCTCCGGGCGGACGCTCTAACCACTACACCACGGAGGCGGTCTGTGGTCGTTACAAAGAACAACACACTCCGATTGTGTCAGTTTGTGATCATATAAATATAAATAAAACAACTATCTTTGGGTCTAAATGTAAGCCAAGGGTAGTTACAAAGAACAACACACTCCGATTGTGTCAGTTTGTGATCATATAAGTATAAATCCAACTATTTTTGCGCCCACTGTTTGCGGTCGTTCGAACAACAAGACGTACGGTCAAAGTCCTCCAGCGCCCACTCTTTGCGGCACTCGACATAGAAGAGCACGGCAATCGAGTGAAAGTGTTAGATTTTACGTAAGCCTCATGTGGTAGCCACTGTATCAGACACGTGCATTTGAAATGTATACATCTGTAGTGAGTAAGTGAGTTTAGTTTTACGCCGCACTCAGCAATATTTCAGCTATATGGCGGCGGTCTGTAAATATTCGAGTCTGAACCAGACAATCCAGTGATCAACAGCATGAGCATCGATCTGTGCAAATGGGAACCGATGGCATGTGTCAACCAAGTCAGCGAGCCTGACCACCAGATCCCGTTAGTCGCCTCTTACGACAAGCATGGGTTACTGAAGATCCATATTCTAATCCGGACCTTCACGGGTATCCGTATTTGTGTTAACAGTGATGATTTCATATGTGTTAGATTGTACAGTCGGGTTATTGTCTCTTGTGTAGCTGTTTCATGAATGTGGGAATACAGAAACGTTTATACGTGAATTTAGACAAAGATGTAAAGATATTAAAATGCAAAATTGGCACTCTACGATAGCATCATCTTTTCTAAAAGACTATGGAGCAATCAAGTCCGCCCTCGATCCTGAAAAATACATATTGGACCTTTGTCATAACAAGGACCTTATACTCTTTTGCATAACATCATCTTTAATAAATTCCAATGTATTGACATGTGACAAATGTGATTTTAATGTTACACAGGATGAATTTCATTTTTTACTTGTGTGTCCATTCTATTCTGTACAAAGAAAACTGTACTTACCTGTTATTACCATACGTTTCCATCAAGATTAAAATTTAAACAACTTTTAACATCAAATGCACATCTATTGAAGTCAATAGCAATATTTCTAAAGCGTAACTTGCCTGAATGAAAATGAACTACTTACATTGTTTTGTTCTGTCCATCCGCACAATATTGTTCTTATATGTTTGTACTCTTTGGCCATGCGGCCTCAAATACTGAATAAACTTCTTCTTCTTCTTCAAATAGTTCTACTCGTTTTTCCTTGGGGCGGTACTATTTATTTAAACCAAGAAGAAGGGTAACTGTTGTGTCAGTGATAACATTCACTTGTACTTTAAGAACACTCCCCAGACACAAACATATTGGAAAATAGATAAAGATTTAAGAGTAATGTTGAACAAACAGAAAACAAACAGAGCTTGAATCTTGACATGGAAATCTGTACAAACAAACAAGACTGTTCTTATTTGCGTACAGGTTCCGCAAACAGAGGCGACTAAAGCCTATTCCACATCCATAAAAGTTTTTTGCTAAAAACAGTCGATTGTACAATTCTGACTATATAATGATTGCTCGGATTTGCATAAAGGTTCCACGGATGTGTGCTGTGTAAACACTCATTTAAGAGCTGGTGTAAACTTGTTTATCCTACGGTCTTCAGCAAAGGAGAAGTGACTCATGCTAAAAAGACATGCAACTGCATACAGAACCCCAGATTTCAGGACAGCATCGTCCCGGCAGGTCTGCAGACACGCTGGTGATGGTTCGCTTAGATGTCCTTTGTCTTTGCGTTGGTCTCCTCCTGATACAATCAACCGTCACCAGTGCCACCTCGGCCTGTGGATTACGACGAACGGGCTATGACAAACATGGCTTTGTTCTTGACATTGGTTCTGATGTTGCCGAGCTTCTGGAATCACAGACTGTAGCTGACATATTTGAATGTGCCATCTCCGTGGAAAGACGTCCCACATTTCAATGGTTTATCTACAATTCTGTGAATAACCTCTGCATATCCAGCACCTGTTGGGCAATACCAATGCAGTTTGTGGCGGCATCTAACAGCGTCTTGTACAGAAAAGGTTAGTGTTCATGATTTCTCTGAATTGATTTGTAATAACAAGTTTACACGAAACAAAAATCTATGTATACATATATATATATTATACTACTCACAGTTTGCTAAGGGTCACATTTTCCGAATATGACAATACACATCTCACTAACAAATAAATAACCATGGTAAAAAACATTGAAAGGAAATTGTTGTCATATGTTGATGAAGAGGCCAAACTAACACGTAATGAACAGCTAAGGTGAGACTACCACAAAAACGGTGATCATGACAGCAACCAACAAGTCTCCAAATCACGGAACAAGTCATTGACCATGACACAACAACTATCAATAGCGGTTATGAGTGAGTGAGTTAAAATTTAAAGTCACATTGGCAATACAATAGCGGTTATGGGATCTATGAGATGCGACTACAGCCTGGCACCGTCGTCTCATGTTTCCAGTCACAATCTGGATGGACGCCCAGGGAAGATTGTTCCACTCATGGCTCCCCTCTCTATGGAGCAATTCCAAGTTCTTGGAGAAACTGTGTTGTCTGAGTACAGACTCCGAATTTCGACGTGAGCGTGAGATGGCTGATGGAACTATCGGGTGCTCCACCACCCGCATGTCGCGATGTGTCTCTCCGTCACAAAGAGATGACGTCTTGCTGAAAGCAACAGAAACCGGTCATCACGCTGGCTGGTGGAACGTGATCCACCACCCGCATGTCGCTGTGTCTGCCGTCACAAAGTGATGACGTCTTGCTGAAAGCAACAGAAACCGGTCATCACGCTGGCTGGTGGAACGTGCTCCACCACCCGCATGTCGCTGTTTCTGCCGTCACAAAGTGATGACGTTTTGCTGAAAATAACAGAAACCGGTCATCACGCTGGCTGGTGGAACGTGCTCGACCACCCGCATGTTGCTCTGTCTGTCGTCATAAAGTGATGACGTCTTGCTGACAGCAACAGAAACCGGTCATCACGCTGGCTGGTGGAACGTGCTCCACCACGCGCATGTCGCTGTGTTGTTGAACCATGAGACTACGCTTTGACTCACACTAAGGACACTGGCAACGTGACGTTGTGTTGTCCCACTTCTAGCATCCTTACGCATCTGGCTTATTCTTCTTCCACTGTCAAACGACGTCGTAATGGTTGATGGGGCATTTCTGTTTTCAGTAATTGCAATAAATACTTGTTATGCTCTCAAAAACAGGGTGCAGTGTTGCAATGACAAAATAATCAGAACGGAGGTAACTGTGGTTATCATGCATCACGTGCATATGGTGTCCGTCACAGTATGATTTCCCCTGCTTTATGTGATAGTGTGGTTCCAGTGGGGTTACCTAATCATTGTGTACCGGATTTTAATCCAATATGACTCCATATCATAATTTCACGTTAACTTGAAAATGTTATCCTTAGCAGACTTTGAGTGGTATTTTATTAAACAAAGACAACTTATAGTGTATTATCTCAGACTTTGATTATTTTGAACATTGATTATTAATTGAAAAAGCTTTTGTTTGTTCGTTCTGGTAGAGTTGAAGTTGATTGTACGAAACACATATTGTATTAGGAGGATAAATAGAGAATACATTTTATTTATTACTCACCCAACATTAGCAAAATAATATCTAGCAAAGTACTTCTTTCCTAAGAATGCAACGAGTGTGATGACTCTCAGCTGTCCGCGAGTCAAGCAAGGTCTAATACTATTGTGACAGAGGTATTAGCATTGTGACGTCATAACTATACATCGGTTTTACGTCATACGTACGGCACCACGTGATGTTATTACACAATGTCTGTAATAACATTGTAAAATTATTAAACAGTGATATCTTCAACGGGTGAGTAATAAAACGTTTTTGTAATAGAAATGTCACAATATCTAGTAAAAAGCAAATTTTATGTAATGCTCAGTTTAAAAAGTCAAATATGCTTTATAATATATAATAATTTGCATGGAGTATCATTGAGTTACTGTGTATGTTATCTCGAAGTGAAAATGTAGGGCATAGACAACTGTCTTAACGACCCCACATTTAAAACTCTTCCAGGACCCCCTTCTATTCCACAATCCTGCTCTGAGGTGAAGACAATTAACCCAACGGCTGCTGACGGCGAGTACTGGATCT